CATCCTTTGACCAACGTGCAATGCATTAGCTACTTGTTTACTCTGTAATCATCATGTGTATCTACTTGTAACGGTATAGAGATGAGTTAGACATTGCCAAAAAACACTTTTTAACTTGGTACATTTCTTTCGTAGCCAATCATCGAGGGACCAGATCCTCAGCTTGATTTCATCAACCCTAGTGCCAAGTGATTCCTATCAAAGTGCTCTCTTCTCAGTGTTTTGGTGAATATGTCTACAATTTGATCGTCTATGCTGCAAAATTTCATACAGATGAGCCCTTTTTGAACATTGTCTCTGAGAAAGTGATGTCGCACATCAATGTGCTTTGTTCTCTTATGTTGAACTAGATTCTTGGCCATATTGAGAGCACTGATATTGTCACATAGAAGGGAGCGCAATCAGAAAACACACCAAAATCTTCCAGCTGTTGTTTAATCCATAACAGTTGAGCACAACAAGATGCATCCGCCACATATTCAGCTTCTGCAGGTGAGAGGGCCATTGAGTTTTATTTTCTTGTACCCCATGAAATTAGACATGAAACCTTAAAATATGTCATGACAGAAGTGTTTTTCCTTTCCACCAGATACCCAGTGTAGTCAGCATCAGCATACCCAAATAGATCAAAATTATCTCTTGAGGGATAGTATAGAACCAGGTCTTGTGTTCCTTTAAGATATCTCAGGATTCTCTTGGACACTTTCAGATGAGATTCCTTTGGATTAGATTAAACCCTGGCACAAAACCCCACAATAAAAACAATATATGGTCTGTTTGATGTGAGATACAAGAGTGACCCTATGATACTTCTATACATGGTCTCATTCACAGAGGAACCAAGTTCATCCATGTCTAGACGAATGGCTGTGGCAATGGGAGTTTCGATGATTGTTTATCCTTCCATGTCAAATCTCTTCAACAGCTCCTTGATGTATTTCTACTAACTTATCATTGTCCCTTTGGAAGTTTGCTTCACTTGTAAACCCAAGAAAAAATTCAGTTCCCCCATCATGCTCATTTCAAACTCACTCCCCATGAGTTTTCCAAATTCCTCACATAGAGAATCATTTGTTTCTCCAAAAATGATATCATCAACATAGACTTGCACAATGAGCAAGTTCCTTCCTCGTTTCTTCAGAAAAAGGGTGTTGTCAATTTTTCCTATTGTAAAATCATTTTCTAGAAGAAATTTTGATAGCCTTCCATACCAAGCGCGAGGAGTCTGCTTTAGCCCATACAAAACATTGTCAAGTTTAAAGACGCGCTAAGGATGCTCATGATTCTCAAATCCAAGTGGTTGCTTGACAAAGACCTTTTCCCTTAGAAAACCATTCAGAAATGCACTTTTGACATCCATTTGGAACAATGTGAATTCCATATGGAATGCAAAGGCAATAAGAATTTTGATTGCCTCCATTCGAGCAACTAGAGCAAAGGTTTTATCATAGTCAATTCCTTCTTTCTGATTGTATCCTTGAACTACTAGTATTGCCTTGTTCCTTGAAGTGTATCAAAACTCATCAAGTTTGTTTCTGAATACCCACCTGAATCCTATAACAGTTCGATCAGCAAGTCGTGGAACCAAGTGTCATACGCTGTTCCTCTCAAATTGATGGAGCTCTTCTTGCATTGTTGTATTCTAGTTTGCATCTTTCAATGCTTCCTTGATTTTTTGGGCTCTATTTGAGAGAGAAAGGCTAAGAAAGCAAGTGAGTTTCTTGTCCTTGATCTGGGTTGAATTCCTGAATCAAGATGAGTGATTATGTTTTCAAGTGGGTGTGAAATTTTATGCTTCAAGTTAGACATCTGAGTCTCATTATTAGAAGATTCAGGTATTTCAGACTGTGATCCTTGGCTTCTTCTCATCTCAGCATGTAGGGTTCCTTGGACAATATCGACAACTATATTCTCAGGTTTAATTATTATGATTGACGGACTAGGTTCCTCTCCATCAATTTGACATATGGTTTCACCATCCTTATTTGATTCCTCGACGTGGATCATTACATCAGCCTTTCCATTTGCCATGTCAATGATTCCACTAGGGACAGTTGACTGTTCTCCGTCTTGATCATTTTTATCATTCAAATCCTTTCCACATGAATGATGAGATTCATTAAAGATCATATGTATGCTTTTCTCAACACATTGAGTTCTTTTGTTGTATGCTTTGTAGGCTTTGCTTTGTGATGAATAGCCTAGAAAGATTCCTTGATCGCTTTTGACATCAAATTTTCCAAGTGCTTTATTGACATTGTTGAGGACAAAACATTTGCAGCCAAATGTCCTTAAATGTGTCAGTTGGGCTTCCTTCCGTTCAGTAGTTCATATGGCATTTTGTTTAGAAAGGACCTGATTATGCACTTGTTCACCAAGTAGCATACAATGTCGACGGTTTTGGCCCAGAATCCTTTTGCAATGCTACTGTCAATCAACATTGTCTTTGTTATGTCTTTAAGAGTCATATTCTTCCTCTCTACAACACAATTTTGTTGAGGTGTTCTTAGAGCTGAAAAATTGTGAATGATGCCATTTTCAGCACAGAATTCTTCGAATTTGGCATTGTCAAAATCTGTCCCATGGTCAGACCTCATATATACTACATTATGGCTCATATTTACCTGGATCTTCTTTAAAAATGCCACAAACACTTAAAAGGTTTCATCCTTGGTTCTGAGAAACAAAGTCCAGGTGAATCTGGAATAGTCATCCACTATAACGAAGATATACTTCTTTCTTCCCCTACTTGGCACCCTCATAGGTCCACATAGATCCATATGGAGGAGATCAAGTGTCCTTGAGTTACTAACTTCCTTTTTGGGCTTGAAAGAGGATCTGAATTGCTTTTCTTTTATACATGCATTACACACCTTGTGATCCTTGAAGCTTGACTTAGGCAGACCACGAACCAGGTCCTTCTTGACCAATTTATTCAGCTACATAAAACTTGAATGGCCCAGCCTTCTGTGCCATAGTTCAGCATCATCATAAATGGCACTCAAATAGCTGAGATCCCCATTTTGCAAGAACTCAAAGTCACCATCGTAGATATTTTTGTATCTTTTGGCCACTAACACCACTTCACCGGTCACAAGATTAGTGACTGTGCATATCTTGGATACAAATTCCACTTTGTTTCCTTTGTCACAGATTTGGGAACGCTTAGAAAGCTGTATTTCAACCTGTTCACGTAGTACACATTTTCAATTGAGTGATAGAGAGACTGCCCAATCCTTCCAACTCCCAGAATGTATCCCTTCTTGCCATTTTCAAAGGATACACTCCTTCCTTGCAGGGCCTTCAATGAAAGGAAATCATTTGTACTTCCAGTCATGTGCTTCAAGCAGCCGCTATCCATGTACCATTATTCGCTACTCCCTTTCACTGCTCCATGCACAAGGAAATCAAGAGTTAGACGTAGGAACCCAAACAAGTTTGGGTCTTTGTAATGAGGAAATGGGGGAATGAGGGATCTTTTGGTCCAAGCAGACACCACACATTTTTTATATGAAGGGCCAGGTTCCTTAGTAGTAGTTACTTTTTCAGCAAAAACATTGTTTTTTGTTGAGATTGAAATCTGGCATTATAGGTTTCCTTAAAGTTCTCAGTGTTACCAAAGTGAGTGCAGAGCTAGTTATCAGGTACAATAACGTACTTGTTATGGGGGTTGTAGGAAGTCTTTTCCCTTTTAAACACGATTCCCTTCCTATTTCCCATACTATTTGTATACATAGCAGTGATTGCATTAGAGGACTAGGTCCACTTAAGAGATTTTTCTAGGTCACTCTTCACTTTGCCTAGATCTTCCTGAAGTTGTCTATTTTTCTCAAGCTTAGCAAACAAACTATATTTCATTGATTTAACTCATTTTCAAGCCTAAGGTGTGCCTCACTTGCAACTTCCTTTCCTTTTTGAGTGTTCCTAGGCCTACTTTCCCTTTTTAGTTCCTCAATTGTTTCCTTTAGGTCTACAACTACTAGTAATAGGTCATCTATTTCATGCTTAATGTTAGCAACCCTCTCTATTAAAACTTCTTTCTCCTTTTATAACACATTCAATGGTCTCTTTTAGATAGATCACAACAACCACTAGATCATCTCTCTCATGTTCTATGTTTGCAATTTTTTCAGTTAAGGCATCTTTTTCTTTCTTCAAACTCTCAATGGCTTCCTTTAAGTTTACCACAATGACTACTAGATCATCTCTCTCATGTTCTATGTTTGCAATTTTTTCAGTTAAGGCATCTTTTTCTTTCTTCAAACTCTCAATGGCTTCCTTTAAGTTTACCACAATGACTACTAGATCATCTCTCGACTGTTCTATTTCTCCTAGTTCCACAATTAATGCATCTTTATCATTTATAAGACTATGATAAGCATCAATTAAAATATTTCTCAAAGTCATAAGTTTTTTTTGGAGAATAAGACTTTAGATTTCTTTGAACATCTAGAAAGTTTACCTCATCATCATCATCGACATTTTCATCATTGTTAGATTTTGCCATTAGGGCAAAGATTGAGCCAGACTCAACTGTTTCACTTTCTACTACCATCATGGAGCTATCACCATGATCATCATCTTCTTCAAATTCACTGGAAGAGTCTCCTCATACAGCAAGAGCTTGTTTTACAATATTGTTAGTGACATCTTTTCTATTGAATCGTTCGTAAGGAGCTAGGCTCCTCTTAGCTGCTTTGTCAGTATTGTGTTCGTACTGATCTTGCTTGAGGAGAGGGAAATCTTGATGGAGTGTCCTGTCTTACCGCACTTATAACATAGTTCATAACCTTTTGGCTTGCTGGAGCTGCCCCTTTTTGGAATGCCTCCATTTCTGCGAACCATTTTCTGAAACCTTTTGTCAGGTAGGCCATATCAGCATCATCACCACCTAAGTCATTGTTGTCCGTCTTGAGGACCAGATTCTTCTCTCTTTTGGGCTCTCTTCTCTCATTATCCTTATTCTTCTTCATTTCATAAGTCTTCAGATTGCCGACAAGTTAATCAATGGTCAGCTCCTGCAGATCCTTTGCTTCTGTGATAGCATTCACTTTGCTTTCCCCGGAACCAGGTAATACACTAAGTATCTTCTTGAAGAATTTTCTCCTGGGGATGATCTCTCCTAGAGAGTGAAGCTTATTGATGATAGATGTGAAGCGAGTGTGCATATCCTGAATGGACTTATCGTCCTTCATCTTGAAAAGCTCATACTCTGTGGTTATCATGTCAATCTTGGACTGTTTTACCTGTGTTGTCCTTTCATGAGCTGTTTAGAGAGCTTTCCATATCTCCTTAGCAGATTAACATGTTGAAATCTTGTTGTACTCATATGAAACCAATACCACAGACGAGGATTTTTTTAGCTTGAAGGTTCTTTTCAATAGCCTTGCGGTCATTATCATTATATTCCTTTCTTATTTTAGGAACTGTCATTACGGGGTCTCCAATGGTCTTCGTAGGAATGAAAGGTCCATCGCAGATGATATCCCAGAGCTCTGAGTCTTCAACCGTGATGAAGTCGTGCATCCTTGTCTTTTACCATCCATAGTATTGGTCGTTGAATCTTGGTGGTCTGTAGGTAGACTGACCTTCTTCGAAGTTTGGCGGAGCAGCCATGAGGATCCTTTCTAGGTGTTAGCTTGATAAAAAGAAGCCACTCTGATACCAATTGATAGAAACTAAGGGTCCACCAAACTATATAGAGAACCAAGTTCTCTGTTAATTCCCACAGAACACACGCACACTGCAGTAAGTAAATGACACAATGGAGTTTTACGTGAAAAACTCCAAGTTCACGGGATCAAAAATCACGACATACCCTTGTAGGATTTCAACTTCACTATTAAGCAAACTTTAGATTACTACATATTGTAACCTAGGAATTAACCTTTTAATCCATCACTAACTTGTAACAACTCTATTACAAGCCGCTTTGTAATATCTCTATTGCAAAAACTTACACCTCGACTAACTCTAGCTAAGACACAAATACAAGCGTTTATAATTTACAAAGATTTCCTACATAATGCTTATAACTAAGCTAAGTAGGAATTACGAGTAGAGTGGTTTAACAAAGGTGAAACACAACTAAGGACATGTAATAACTCGATACAGGGAACTGATCCGTCGTTATGTTGTTCTGTATTCTTGATGCCCTTGAGAGTCACTAGCGAGATTGATAGGTCACTTCAGAGAATGCTTGATTCTTTCTTGAATGTGCAAGTGTTTTGTTTTACCTTTTCTTGATGTTAATAATTCATTTGTCATATCACTTGAATGATGCAAGCAAGTTAGGTAAAGGGCATTCCTCATAAAGTTGACTATTGTACTTTTTTTGTGCAGACAGCAACTTTACAGCTGGGGTTTGACTTGTACAGTCACCACGGGAATTGGTAGCTATTTGTTCTCTCTGTTATTCCTTTGACTCTGAAGAGTTAAACCGTGTCCCCGACTGGAGACTTGTTGATCTTAAATTCTTGAGTATGTGTAACAAGTTCCTTATCTAGTTCTTAGCAGTAAGTTTGTTAAATCATCATAATAGAGCAGGGATATACATATACCCTATCAAGAAACCATTCTTATCTATGAAACAAAGGTGAAAACAACGAAGCACCCGCAATTTTGTAAATAGTATCGATCGATATAATATCACTTGACATGTAAACGTTTTACCTTTCATTGTTTTATTACTTTTGCATTATTTATTCAAATGTGTCGGCAATATTAAAAAGAATATGACTTGTATAATTTTATAGCTAATCAAGTATTCGCATGGGCGTGGGTGTTTGCTGATTGTGTGCGACAAATGCCGATGCACCTACCCTATTCTGTTGAAAACTACTCTATATAAATAGTTGAAAACACTTTAAAAATATATCTATATGTAAATTGTACTTATTATTACGAAATAAATGTACTAGCAGATAAGACCATTCCTGTCTGCGAAAGACAAGTTGTTTGTCTCCGGCAATAAAGTAGAGAAAGGGATAATAAATATGAAGTCACAAACACTTGGACTTACGAAAGAGTGATATGCTCGAGGGCACATGAAATGTTATCCCATGGTTACGTAATTATTTATCATTATCAATTTAATTATTGATGAGACCAAATCCTTGAATAATTTTTATCTTTTATTTATTTAAGAAGAATCAAGAATGTACGTATATGATTGACTAAAATAGAGCTGTAACAAATTAAACATTAGCGTGGGCGTTGTATTTTCTGGGAATGGTGCCATGATACTAGCTGTATGCTATGAATACTGATGCACCTACCGTATTCTGTTCAAAACTCTACTCTATATAAAAATTTGAAAAGTCTTACTTTGCACGTATTATTAAAAGAACACAAGAATGAAAATTAAGGAAGATTAAATTCAAACACCATCGTTAATTATGTAGTAACTTACATTAAACTTAATGTTTGGACGAAAGAAGAATATCATTGACCACCTTCTCAATGTTCTCGTAAGATGACCCTGAATGTTCTATGGCAGATGCTTCAGCCAATTCCTTCAATTCCATTGCCTTTTTCTTCATCTTTTTGCCTTTTTCCCCAACCATCAATTCCCTTACAAGGCTTTCCACTTCATCCCTCTTTACATCACTATCAATCTCCATTCCAACATCCCATTTAGTGACAGAAAACCAACAATTTGTTTGTTGTTCAGCGAAAAATGGCCAGCATATCATAGGCAACCCACTGCTTATACTTTCTAGCGTCGAATTCCATCCACTATGAGTCAAGAATCCTCCAATTGCCGGATGACTAAGTACTTCTTCTTGTGAACACCAACTAGCAAGCATACCTCTGTTCTTCGTTTCTTCCACGAATTCGGGTGGAAGAATCGATGCATCACCTAAAACAATATCAGGTCTTATGATCCATAAGAATGTTTGCTGGCTGTTTGCAAGTCCCCAAGCAAATTCAACAAGTTGATTAGGAGTCATAACAGTAATGCTTCCAAAGTTAACATAAACAACAGAGTTTGGTTCTTTGGTATCAAGCCATTGTATACACTCTGGTTCCTCTTTCCAAAGGCTGGATCTAAGTCCCTTCAAATTTTCATCATCAGCATGTTTCACTAGAAAATGCAATGGCCCTATGGGGTAGACTGGAGGAAGAAGATTTCGGAGCGATTCAAGAACTTCAGCCTCTAGAGTTTCAAATGTGTTGAGGATAATTGCAGAAGCCTTCCTTGCTCTCTCTGTTTCTTGAAGTACAAATTTGATCATGAATTCATCTGGATTTGTAGTTCTCAAGAAACTTGGAAGATCCCTTAAACGTACGTCTTTCATGCCTGGTATAAAATCCAATGTTGTCTCTAGGTATCCATTTGTCAAGTCACCCGCATCTATAATTTCCCAAAAAGAGAAAAAGTTAAAACACGTGCATATCCAATATAATGGGAATTGGCTATATACATCAAGAACAACCAAAAAAAGTCTCAAAATAGCTACTCCCTCCGTTTCAATTTACGTGAACCTATTTCTTTTTTAGTCCGTGCCAAAAAAAATGACTTCTTTCCTTAATTAGAAACAATTTACCTTTACACAATGATTTATAGCCACACAAAATATATGTGCCTCATTTTACACCACAAGATCAAAAGACTTCTCCCTTTTCTTAAACTCTGTGCCCAGTCAAATAGGTTCACATAAATTGAAACGGATGGAGTATATCTTTCCATTTGCCTTATAGACAGAGTTATTTGGTATCGGTATTAGATGAAAGTAGCACATACACGATGTAATAACTAAATACATCAAGATCCGATAAATCATAAAAGCATAACAACAGTGAATTCAAGATCTAAAGTTAATAACTTAGAAGTAATATTGTAATCTTGTACACATATATACTTATATAGTTGAAGCAAAAAGGGTGCCGCCTATGTCGGAGAAAGTATTTGTACCTTTAAGTGGAGCGTAGCCTTTTTCAATAACCTTGTAGTAATGCATGTAACCTAAGAAACCACAAGCACTAGTTGTCCAAAACAGAATTTCAGGGACTCCCAATTCTTGTGCGGCAGCTAGGGTGAAGCTCATGACACCATCGGAGACGATGCACGAAACGGGTGGGACGTTAGATGTGTTAGTATTGTTGAGCTTGGCAAGAAGATCCCTAAAGGGACCCAAGCAAGTATTGGTTGTAGATTCACACAAAGAAGGTATATCTTGTGTGGCATCTGCATCACATGGCGGAAGTCCATCAGGAATGGTCTCAAAACGGAAAGAAGAAAGACCCTTGAGAGAATCAGGGCCACGAGATTTAAGGAGACGTCTATGGTTAAATTCAGTGTTGACAAAAGTTATGTGAAAGCCTTTGTGATGAAGTATTTTGGCTAGCTTTAACATAGGGTTTATATGGCCTTGGGCAGGATATGGTATGCAAACTGCATGTGGCTTTGAAAATTCAGCACCAATGGAACCCATTCTTAATTTCTTTCTCTCTCTCTAAATGTCTCGAAAGGAAAGGAAAGATCTGGATGATTTTGGCAAGAAGGATTGAAGAAATGCAGATATTTATAGATGGAAAAAACAAGTCAAAAACGTCAAAGAAAGTGCAAAAAAAGAGATCACGCCAGACTGTTAAAAAATGGGAAAATTCAAAGTTGATTTGGGTTGGCTGGAACGCCGGTTTCGAGGTCAAAAATGACTCGCTGAGTACTCCCTCTTTTTCAATTTAAACTTAGCGGTGTAAAATAAGACAAATATATTTTCTGGGCTATAAATTATTTTATAAAGGTAAATTCTTTCCAAATAGAAAAATGTCATTCTTTTTGGCAATGACTAAAAAGAAAATAAGTTCACATAAATTGAAACGGATGGAGTATATTATACTAGTATTCATTATTAGTCCAATTTCTCCACCAAACTGTCATGCAATTAGGGGTACAAAGGAAATCGACAAACCGCATCAACCCGATAATTCGAGTCAAACCGAAGAAAAAAAACCGACTATGGTTTGGTGTTAGGAAAAAAACCCTACCATAATTGGTTTGGTTTGATTTTAACTAAAGAAAGTCAAACCGAAACCAAAACCAACCCTACACATAAATTTTTTAGATATATTTAATATATAAATATACTTATTGTGATGTAATTTATAAATATTTCTTAAAAATTTCATAATTTTATCTTTTAAGATATTATTTCAAGGTTGGACTTAGAACTTTTGAATGTTCCAATAAGTTTTATAGTCATTAATATTAGTAAATTAAACAATGCCAATAAAAGCCCAAACCAAAATCAAATCAATACTAATGCTAACAAAAGACATTCAATTCAATACTACGAATGAAAAATCTAGTAAATGTCTATTTTTTGTTTTGCATTAATTTAGATAAATGCATAACCTATTTTTATTTATTCTTTAGCGTTTAATCATGTAATTAATACTCCCTTATTAGTCTACTTATTTTAGCATGACTTAGTACTTTTAGAATATGTTTATTTTTATTATGGCTTTTTAATTAGCAATATTTATATTACATAATTTTATTGTCTTTATTGTTGAATATT